CAAAAATCCGTGCAACCGTCTACCAAAGTAGCACCAAAGGAATCTATTTTCCTTTCTAAACTTTTGAATGTCGCCAACGCTTAAAAAATGATGAAGTACGCTAAGGTAGTAACCCGCCTTTTTTAAAAAAAAGATTCACTACAACACTTAGGCATTTCGGGTACGTAGAGTCCGTTCTTTTCGATCGGGTTCAAATGACGGATCCGACAACTCAATACGCATGCGTGATTAATGTTGGTGCGAATAGCTCAAGCGACTAATCGCACCACTGTTGCGAATAGCATCGGCCTTCCGGGTCTTCCCATTAAATTTTTGAAGCTCCAACTTTGGTAATTTAAAGCCTTTTCAGGAGGTCGAAAATTCCAGGGTAATTACGATGGAATCACCATTTTGTTGGCGATTATTTTGACCGGATATTTATACGAGATGTCATCGGGCAAATCGCGAAATGTACTTTCGTGTTCACTTTTCACAAATGCGGAAGGGTGATTGAACTCATTAATCTGTAAGTGGCGGCCAACTGGAACGCAAGACTGAAGTTGTGCCCGCCACGTCGGTTTAGAATTCGCATCGAACGCACTGGCGAGCGTAAAACAGGGCTTAGAGCTACGCTTCGTAATAAAAATCCATAGTTTAAATCGAGCCCCAAGAAGCAATAATAAAGAAAGCAAAGAAAGCCACGCACGAAAATCCAGACGAAAGCGATGGCGTTGCTTCAAATAGCCAGGCGCCCTGCACCGACGCAGTTAGAAGAACTAATCAAGTCTGACGGAGTAATAACGTCGGACGAATGGAATAGAGGGAGGAGAGAAAACTTGTAATTAACAACGAACTTATTTATTTAGCATTCTAAACATTACAAAAAGAAATAACATTCCATGCGTTATCACGCTGAAAGCCTATATAAAACAACATCACTGTTGCCACAAAAATCTACATTATAATGAACGTATTAAATTATTGTGTATTAATTGAGTTCGTGCACGTTCCTGAACACACACTCTGAGTTCATAAAAAGGTAAATTGATACATATTCTCGTATAATTGTACTCAGAAATAATATTTTCTTCCTATTTTTTTCAACTCATGAAGCTCGAGCTAGAAGGGAGCAACATTAAACTTCGTTTTCTTATTTCTAAATTAAAATTAATATAATATACTTTAGTAAACAATTTGAACCTTTTATTTCTGTTTCTTTCAGTCTCTTACTTCGAAATTTTTTTCGCAGTAGATACTCAATCAGCAAAAAGATGTAGCGGATGCAAAACGAAGAGTGGTGTAATTTGTTTTTGTTTTCCTTGAGCACGTTGGTAATTGATCTGTCTACATGTATTGCAGTTGTTTGTTGAATTTTTGAATAGTACCTTCTTTTTCCTCTCTCTTGCACTGTAGTTAATTAAATGTTATGCTTCGTTGTATTTTGTAATTGTCTAGAACATAAATAATGAAGGTAAGGGAGCATTATTATTTCGTTTTATATCTTAAACAGGTATGAAATTAAATCAGTATCTTATTTTGCCTTTTAACTATTAAAAAAAAAAAAAAAGACTGTCTAGGTCTTGAAGGATTATACGACTTATTGTTTAATTCCACGTAGTTGCAGTTAGGCATAGAAAAAGATTTACAGCTGTTTGTTAGAATTGCATACTTATAACCAAATAATATAATTTTCCCTTTTAAGATAAAATCGTTTCCGAGCTTAAAAGAAGCATGCGCGTTTTCTAGATGAGTATTTTAAGTATATTTTTTAAAAGAATTAAAGCCAATGCAAATATCTAAATTTTAAATCATATTAACCCTAGGTCCTTAAACCTTCATAAAATTTAGTCACCATCTGACAGCATTGTGTGATTTTCACCTCTTCAGGCAACTGACCAGTATAATACTTCCCATAGTTTCAATCAAAATAAAAGATATTTGGTGGAAAGTGTTTTTGCATGTTTATAGATATGTGTTGTAAGTGTTATGAACTTTTAGTGATAGTGCTGCCATTTTGATACTTCTCGTTATCTCATTTTCACATTTTACGATCAAAATTATGTATAAGTTTTTACAGTAGTAGTGATTTTTAAAACACGGTTTTCATAAATTATTACATTTATTTTTTAAGTGATAGTTAAAGAAATATCAGGCTAGTAATGAGTGATAATTGGCCTGGATTGTCAACGTTATCTGATGAAATAGATGAAGGAGATGTTGAAAATGAGAAAAAAAGAGGAATAAAAACAGGGAGTAAATACTGGTTGCAGTGGTAAGCACTCAGGTCGCTAAAGTATTAAGCAATTAATAAAAATATACCTTCAAATGTTAAAAAAAAAAAAAAAAAAGAAAAGTCATCAAAAGAGCTGATTACATACTGAGTATGTAGTGTCAGTTATTAAGAAAAGAAGTTAAAGCAGTTATGTAGCCAAAAATAGGTTGCATTTCTGTTAATGGACTGCCATTAACCAAATGTAGTAGCCTATTTATATTATATTAGGAACAGTTGTGCAATGATAATATCAATAATGTTTAATATGCACACTACTACAGATGTGTGTAGTGTCAAATTAAGGTAAAACTGTAGTTTAGGGTACCCCTTGGCAAAACTTGGTGATTTTTGGCGGTACATGGGAACTGATTTTGTGCAATTCTTCGACTCGTTATCTTGCGCCGCTACATAAAGCCAAAATAACAAGACAAACAATTGCACAAACTCGGTATCCATGTACACATTGACTTATTTTCACTTAAAAAAATCCCCGAATTGCACAAAAATGGCATTGCGCACTCCTTTGACTTTGTCCATGTACACGTTGACCTATTTTCACCTAAAAAAATCCCAGAATTGCACAAACTTGCATTGCGCACTCCTTTTACTTTGTCCATATACACATCGATATATTTTCACTTAAAAAGTCAAAGGAGCACCAAATTCTACAATATAGGCAAACAAAAAAATACATAATCTCAATAAAATACATTTAAACCAAACAATAAAATAACAAAAAAAGGGAAACATACATTAAGCACTACGAAAGCAATATTTACTTACCATGATTTTCGAGTTCGCTTCGTACACCCAGGCCATGTAAAAATCAAAATATCAATCATACTCAAATGACTTTTTCAAACCAGGTACTCTTTCTGATCGAACGCTTCACATAGGACCATCTGAAACTTTCTTCCTACAAACCCATTCAAATCCATCTTACGGTTTTTACGTCGACTAGACGCATATCCTTCCTATGTACAGGACACTTATAATGGCTACTAAGTAAACCTTCATTTACGCACCAGTCAATTAAAGCTCTTTTCCCCATTTGCTCCAAATTGTACAGAAACTTCAAATTAATCTTGCTACATTCGGCCATTCTAATGTCTAAAGAATCAGACCAACACACCACAAAAATGCTTACAAAACATCCCATGATTCAAAATTTCCCAGAATCATGCACCCGATTGCATCACAATAGGGTTTCCATAACATTAAACTACTCGGGCTACCATAAATGAAACAACAACTTCGCCGTAATACAAGGGGTACCTTAAAGTCTATTCTACCCCAAATTAATATAACTCTGTGTTTTTTTGTTGGGTAAAATTGAGATCACTGTATACATAGGATGAACAATAATTTTGGGCTAATCTTTAGAATATGGTAACGAGTAGTTTGGCGACATTTTGGGAAGGCGATAAAGGTTACTAGCTAGGACTTTAGCAATAATCTGAGAAGTACACAGTTCGAATCACAGATTATTTTGTCTCGGAGAAATGAGAGATCATGAAACATATAATGTGACATTTTCTGGAAAATTCCGATCGTGATTTTAGCTAATAAGCACTTAGAAACAATTTTGCTGCTAAAGTGCAGAATCACCACTATTTGTTTGGCGCTTTTTACAGAGTAAGAAAGAATTGGATTTTTGTCAATTTTCTTTGACTTTTTAAGTGAAAATAGATCGATGTGTACATAGATAAAGTCAAGAGTGTGCACAATGCCATTTTTGTGCAATTCTGGGATGATTTTTTTAAGTGGAAATAGGTCGACGTGTACATGGATACCGTGTATATGCAATTCTTAAAAACGCGGCAAGCAGTTTACGATTTTGCACTTCATCATGATTAAGCATTTTTGTTCCATAAAAGTTCTAGTATAAGTGTAATTCGGCTAGCAGATTGTTGGAAAACTTTTTTGAGTAAAAAAAAAAAAAAAAAAATGCCTTTACTTTGTGAAAACAAAATGGCATCCAAAACAAAACTAGCAGGTTGCTGTAGCAGGGTTGGTCGCCAAAAAATCGCCAAGTTACCATACTGTAAAGATTCGCCTAATTTTGTTCTTCCCACATATACTACAATCTGTGTTTTGCTAAAAAATAAATCAAAGAATTGCACAGATTTGATATGAAACACATTAATTTGGTAGCATGAACATCAAATGTTAGATATTTTTTCTGTTATTAAATAATAAAGAATCTGTATGAATATATGTTTTTCATGCTGTAGAAAATTCCTGGTACCAAGATCCACAGCCACATTTTAAATACGTAGTCTGCTTGAACATGTACATCTTTAAACAAACATTTTGAATTTGTTTCTTATTTATTTTAGAATTGCACTAATTTAATGAATTTTTGGTTAACATATTGAATGATTTAAGAGCAACATTGCTCGAAATAAAACAATTTTATCTTCAATGCACCAGAAAGTTGCTATTCGGCAGATTGCTGGATATTTGTCTTTTAGCTTAATCAACTCTGCAAGCACTGTGTTGTCATTGCCTAAAATAAAGGACCTTTATCTTCCACATGCCAGCACTTTGCCATTCAGCAAAAAATTTTTAGCTTTCAAATTTAGTCTTTCTGTTACTGATTAACAAACTGATTTAAAATCAATAAATGCATTTCTGAAAAATATTTTTCTTCTTTTAATCTAATTAGTTTAAATAAAAATGCATTTAAATCATAAGATGATTACTTAAAAATATTAAATTTTTTAATGAATTACACTAACCGGACTCATTAAAACTTTATTTTTTTAATTGAAGAAAAAAATCATTTACTAGCATAAATCTGTATGATTAATAATTAAACTCTATAGTGGCCCTTTGCTTGGCCATGGAGTATAAATCTTGGCATGCATTTCAAACCAAAACATTCTTCATTGAAAAATAAATCCATTATGAATATCTAAATTTATATTCCTGATGTCAATCTGGCGAATCCTTATTTATTATTTTTTGCTTTCATCCCCCCATGGCTATCAACACATAACTGCTAGAGAAATGATTCATGCAATGACTCTAAGCAATTTTTTAATAAAATATAAGGTCTACTGGAAAGTTCTGTCCATTTCTATGACAACAATTTTGGACGCGTAAGCACATGTTTATTTGCCGCATGTATGGCTCTCTATTTTTATTGCTTAACGTATACATACTGATGTAGCAAATTAATTAAAGCAAAGCTGATTCACGTTAGTCTTAAGTGTGAAGTGATAGTGCAGCCATGGCTATACTGATAAAGATAATTTACGTCAATGTATTTTATACAAATTTCAACAAGGAAGAAATGCTACAGAAGCATGTAGAAATGTATTGAAACAAGGTCCAATACACTATGAGCAATGAAAAGCTCAATTCGGAAAAGTATTGTCAGCAACTGGATAATTTAAAGACATTAGTTAATTAAAGACAAGCAGTTCAAAAAAAGAGACCGGGGATGTTCAACAGGAAGAACAACAGGTACTGCATCATGATAATGCCAGGCCACATGCTGCTTCGAGACTCGTCAAGAAATTGCAGAACTAGGCTGGGAAATTCTGTCACATCAACCATATTCTCCGTACTTAGCACCCTTCAACTATCACTTGTTTTTGTATTACAAAATTTTTTGAAGGGCGAAAAATTCAAAAATGAAGAAGATATCAAACTAGCACTTATTCAATTTTTCCATCAAAAGATGAAACATTTTTCAAAAATGGAATATACAAATTGCCCTCACGCTGGCAAGAAGTCATAAATAGTAATGGCAATTATATTATTTAGTAAAGTTTTTTGATGGTAAGAAAAATTTGTGTTTTGTGTTTTATTGAAAAAACAGACAGAACTTTCCGGTAGACCTTAATTATATTAATAATTGAATACCAAAGAGCATGGTAACCTTTCATGTTGACTTAACTTAAACTTTCATGTTGCAGTTGGCCACGATTACAGGTTTAGCCAAACGCACTCTGAAGCTTTTAAGTGGTTTCATGAGGAGAAATTTAACAAAAATTTCTTTCCGTGTACCAAAAGAATAAATTACATGAATAATATTCATACGGTAAAAGATTGCATTTAATGCTGCTTGAATTAATGATAACTGCTTTGTTGTTCAGATAAGTCATATGTATATGTGGGCATTTATTTACTTGGGACTTGGTATTATAGCTAAAATAATCATTCTTTTCATAAAGCTTTATGTATCAATAGAGTTGCTATTATCTAATTAGATTTTGACCCAATAACAGATATAATGTTTCATATACTTGGTTAGCGTAAACTAACTAGACGTTAGAACACTGTGTAGGAAATTATCTCTATTTCTTAAATACGACAAAGTCCAGAAAATGGTGTAAAGAATCCTTTATTAACTCAAATTAAAATTCATAGATGTCACTGACTCATGCTTACAAGGCCAACATTTTTGGCTTAACTCAAAAAGGTAATGAGTAACTTGAAATTAAATGCAGTTAAGTATAGCCTAACGTCTTCACATGCATTCTGGTCTTAACTCGTAAAAGTCAGAATCTTAATTGAATCCATGGAAATCTTAATTGTTAGTAAACTGAAGATATCAACATGGCTTTCAGGTAGGTAGGTAGAACATGCTCTAAATTCATCTTCCCAAACCATCCCTTAAATGCTAACTTCTTTCTACTTCATTTTTATACATGCATGCTAACTCATTTACATTCTGGCAAGAAAGTGTGAGTTAAAAGCAAGAGCAATTGGAAAGATTACTTCAAAATAAAATTAACTGCTAAGTAAATTAAGTAAATCCTCATACAGAAAAGTATTAAATAACATAACATATATATTAATGTGTATTTACATGTTTTTTACTTAGTATCTTAAATTCTTTTAATCTTATGTCACCAGTGATATAATACTTTATTGTATTCATTTTTATTTCTTAAACTCTTATCAGATTAAAGAATTTGATCCAGGAAATTCTGTGTATGAAAATATTCAGAGCCAAGATGAAGCTGAAACTTTAGTAACCACATACCCTAATAGTTCAAAAGCATGGCTGTTGTATATGGTGTACTGCCTTAAACATGCTGAGGTCAACAAGGCAAGAGCAGTAACAAAGAGAGCTTTACAAACAATAAATTTCAGGTACTGTATAACTTTCTTTTTAGTTTATTCAACAAACGAAAATTCTAGGTTTTCACAAAAATGTTATTTTGAATATAGTTCGTTTCAAGTATTGTGGATTCATTGTATTTTTATGAATATTTATTAGAAAGAAAATATGAGTACTAATTTTGAATAACATAATATTCATTCTCATAATTTCATTATGTCATTCATTTCACAATTTCATTTTCATAATCCTGTAAATATTAGTTGTAAGCAGTTTCATTCTGCTTGAATAATTTCATTTATGAAATTTTAATAATTACGTTTATAAAAATTTCACATGTTTGCATATTGTATTATTCTTTCTTTATAATATTTTAAGAAGATACATGTCTTCTCTAGGAACGGGTATGTTAGATGTATCAAAACATAAAAATTCCCTAGTTAAATTTTTCACGTGCAGAAATGCATGAGTTAAAAAAAAAATTAATTATAAACAAAATCGGTTGATCTTTACAATATGGTAACTGGTAGTTTGGCAACATTTTGGAGGCGATAAAGGTTACTACCTGGGACTTTGGTAATAATGTGAGCAGTACTCAGTTCCGATTACGCATTATTTTGCGTGAGGGAAATGAGAGATCATGGGATATGTCATGTGATATTAATGGACGAATTACGGTTCTTTAATCGGAAAAGGGGGGAAATCGGGAAAAATTGTGAAATTTTGTATTTAGCTTTATTCTGTGTTGTGTGAAACAGTGTTGTGTAATTTTGGATCTCATGGCCCTAAGTAAAGTGAATTCGAAATGGGTATTTAGGCATTGTGATAAGAGAAGTTTGCTTTTTATTAGCAGAGGAAGTATGGAGGAAAAATTCGCAGAAAAAATCTTTCAATAATTTTATTGAATGAATTAGAAAAGTGTATCCGCCACGTAATCAAGATCTGAAGAAGATTAGGTAAGTTAGTATTTTTATTATTTGAGGATATTATTTTATGCATTGTTCTAAATTAAGGTGGAAGGAATTGGTATTATTGGAAAATTGTTATTAACAATGATTTAGTTTAAAGTAATTAGGATTGTAAGGTAATTTTTATTAATTTAATGTATGTGCTCATTTATATTTTAAGTAGTGTTTTTGAATTTAATTATATTTAATGAAATGATAGTATTTTTGTGAATTTATGTTTGTAGGAATTTGGTATACGTTTAAGTTGAAATAAACTTGCATGGAAATAATTTAAATATTTGATACTAAGTATTTGTAATACGTGCGGTATGAATTCGTTGGTGACATGTATAAAATAGATGATTTAGAGGTAAAAGTTTTGGGATATTTATTTATTTATATGTGGAAATGTTCATATTTGTAAAGGGTAAATACTTTTTCGCGATCAGGTAATTTCATATTGTTCTTTTTACCGGTTTAAATATTGAGAAAATTGTCATGTATTTTGTGAATTTTTCTAATTTATGAGAAAAAGCAGTGTCATGGATATAGTGAAGAGTGTGCGCAATGCCATTTTTGTGCATTCTGGGATGTTTTTTAAGTAAAAATAAGTCGACGGTACATGGTTTAGTGATATTTTTAATTAATGATAGTTATTTTGTGAATTTTATGTTGTAGGAATTTGGTATACGTTTAAGTTGAAATAAGCGTGCATGGAAATTTTAAAATATTGATACTAAGTATTTGAATGCTTGCGGTATGAATTCGTTGGTGACGTTGTATTATAAGTAATAGATGATTTAGAGGTAAAGTTTTTGGATATTTTATTTATTTTATATGTGGGAATGTTCATATTTGGAAAGGGTAATACTTTTTCGCGATCAGGTAATTTCATTATGTTCTTTTTAACCGGGTTTAAAGATTGAGAAAATTGTCATGTATTTTCGTGAAATTTTTGTATTTATGAGAAAAAAGCAGTGTACATGGTATAGTGAAGAGTGTGCGCATGCCATTTTGTGCAATTCTGGGATGTTTTTTAAGTAAAAATAAGTGGCGTGTACATGGTTTATGTGTATGTGTTATTTTGAAACATGTAAGGATTATAGTATTGTGCACGTTTTCCCAATTTTGCAGTGAATATTTGTCATGATTAAGCAATTTTGTTTGATAAAATTTCTAGCATAAGTGTAATTCGGCTAGTAGATTGTTGGAAGAAGTGTTCAGTAGATAAAAAGAAAAGAAACATGTCTTTACTTCGTGAAGACAAAATGGCGGCGGGGAAAAAAAAATAGAGGGTGGCTGTAGGAGAGTTGGTTGCCAAATTTTTGCCAAAAAATCGCCAAGTTTACATAATGTAAAGATCAATCACAAAATCCTTTTATTAAGGACATCAAGATTAAACTCTTTTCATCGTAATTATAGCAAGCAAATTGTGCAGATTTTAGAAGGAAAAAACAAAATTTCAATTTGGTTTTTTTATTCAGATTTTCATTTAACACCTAAAAAATTTGTGTTCTGTTATCAGGACCAAATTCAGAAAGGTATGTATGTATGCATGCATGTATTCATAGATACATGTGTTCATGTATGCATTTATATATGTATGTACATATGGATGTATGTGTATACACACACATGTACATTCATACATACATCCACATATTTCTGAATCTGGTCCCAATAACAGAAGAGTACCAAAAATTTTTCCATTTTCAAATAAATTCCCATATCATGGTCATTAATGCAAATTTTCTTGGTGCCAATATCTTGTAACTTTGAAACTACTCCACCACATGCTGTTCTGTAGGAAGCAGGCCTCAAATTTTAAATAATTAAAAAAAAAAAAAAAAAAATACAAGGGAATGACACATAAATAGCTGTTAATGTGTATCCTTCACATAAAACTGAATTTGCTTATTCAGAATCAATTTAATTTGCATAAAACCATGTCAAAGATCTTATAATTATTTATGATGTTGGATTATCAGTTATTGTCATGTAATCACAGTGTCTGTTGGCAGTTTTTGTTTGTCGAAAATGATTCGATATGAAGGATGTCTAAGAAGAGCTTCCAAGAATAAATAAGTCTTGGAATACTATCATAGATATAGGAGTGGAAAGTATGGAACTAGAGGCTGGAAGGAGTAAACAACATCTTTGAAAAAGAGCTGCCTGTACAAGTCTCTCATTAACCTAAATTTTTATTTAAAAAAAATCTAAAATATTCTGATCACTTGAGCTTTTTAGTTAACTGAATGCCCGGCTTTTATTGTATCGTACTCCACATTAAAAAGTTGTGAACTCATTGGTAACTTCAGAGAGCATTTGCAAACTTGGCAACCAATTTTTTGTCAAGCTAATGCATGAAAGGTAATTGGTAATAAAACACATAACTTTTTCAAAAAATCCTTTTCGTCGGGAAGGTGCTACTGTTTTCCCCATCTGCACAGCAATCTGTTTTTGTTGAAAATTGGAGAATTGCATCTTTAAAACATCTGTATTACACAGTGGTTGAAACAGACATATGCTACAGATATACTTGAGTTGCAACATAAATGCTTTTTGGTGTCATTGTGATTTGCCACGTAACTATTTTGATGATATACTACTTTGTCTCATGAATAAAATTTGCAACTTTTTCGCAAGGGTACACATAATCAGAAAATACCTCAAAATGTATTTAATTTGAATACATGATATCTCATTAAAATGGATTGGATTATGGTGAAGTTTGGAAGGGCAATCTGCCTAATGTGTATGGCTTCTAGGAGAGATATCAACTTACATACTTATGCCCTTTAAAGTGCTTGTATCTTTATAAAATTCAGTTCTGATTATTATTTTCTGGACATCTCTTTTGTAATGATATATTGAAAGTTTTTTTGTTTTTTTTTATATATATATCCTGGTCTCAAGCCTGAATGTTAAAAGTTGTATTTGCGGAAAGAGACAAATATTTTTCAGAAAGAGATTGGAGGTGTGTTACACAGTTTTCTAATTAGTAAAGCTATTTTTTCAGTTCACTGTTTCATTTCAGTAGAAAATCATTAAAATACTATTTCTCGTCAATGAGTTCTTGATTGTGTGGTAAGTTAGAAAGTAAATTCTTGACTCCTTTCAAGCATTGAGATTTTCTACTTTTGTCAATAACCAGTGCTGTTTTCTTCATTCTCAGTTTCATATTGCACACTGATAACACAGAAACTTATTTCTTCAGTTTCTTAAGCCAACTGCTATTTCCTTTTTAAACTTTAATATGTGTTCTGGTGATGCTGTGGTATAAATTTCATGTGGCTTGTATTCATTTAGCAGCCAAAGTAATGTCTTTTATCCAGTTAATCAGCTACATGATAATGTGTTTCTTCCCTCTTACTATGCAATTTCTAATGAACAATGGTAAATTTCTCTTTCTTGAACTTGTGAGCCATGTGATATAAAATTCTCTCCTAACCTTTAGCGAATTAGTGAAAGCAGGTGTAGAAACTTTTTTTTAGCTTTATGACTTGAAATTATTCTGAAAAAGTAATTTCAACATCTCTCGATTTTGTGTTTTTTTTTTTTTTTTTAACTTCCTTGAGAAATTTCCTTTTTTTTTTAGTTTTTTTTTTTTTTTTTATTAATTATAATTCCTTGTGTAAGTAAATTGAGCAATGCTTTTTTTGAAATTCACAGTTTAAATGTAATTTTTCTCTGGATCTTTTGGCATTTAAATATGTACAAGCAAAAAACACACAACAGATTGAAAAATTGCTTCTTCCAGAGATTATTCAAGAGCAGCAGAAAGATTGCCCTTTTCCTGTTTAGTCGATCTGCCACTTTAGGATTACAAACATGACCAATCCTTTCTTAGCGTTTTTTTCAGGCTACAGCAATGGCCTTCAAATTTTATCGACTCTGGAAACCCTTAGATCTGTCAAGTTTCTTTCAAGGAACCCCATCTCACCCTTAGAAAAATGTATCTTAAAATAAAATTTAAAGTTGATCAGTATGGTACTGTTACTTTATGAAAAACGTAAGAAAAGTATTGTATTTTTTATTAAAAAATTATGGCACAAAATTAATGTAGTTTACTCATAATTAGTATT